TGCAAACCAAACGGTGCTGTGTGTCCAGTGGTTCAAAACCATTAGGGGCTCCACCGGAGAAGGCAGTCTCCTCCCACTGCCATTTACAGCCCCAGAAACCCAATTGTTGTTGTTGTTGTTATTGTTATTGTGTGCCATTGAGTCATGCATGACTCATGGCCCATGAACAAAAGATCTGAACCCTGTTCTATCCTGCACCATCCTCACACTTCCTGACACACAAGAGCCCATTGCAGCAGTCACCATGTCAATCCCCCTGGTAAAGGGTCTTCCTCTCCTTTGCTGACCCTCCACCCTTCCCAGCATCATGTCCTTCTCCAAGGGATAGCCCTCCTAGCAACATGTCCAAAGTATGTCATGCAAACCCTTTTCATTCCTGCCTCCAAAGAGCACTCCAGCTGCACCCTCTCCAAGACATACCTGTTAATTCCCCTGGCCATCCATGGGATGTTCAGTGCTCTTCTCCAACACCACAGCTCAAAGAATCAATTCTTTTTCTATCATCCTTATTCATTATCTAGCTCTCAGATACATAGCAAATAATTGTAAAAATCATAGCCCGAATCAGACGCACCTTAGTCCTCAAACTGACATCACTACTCCTCAATAATTTGGAGAGGTCCTTAACTGCAGATTTTCCTAGTGCAATGACTGCTAGTACTTAGGGTGTTAATTGTGGATCTAAGCAAGATGAAGCTGTTGACAGTTTCAACTTCCTCTCCATCCATCATGATGCTGCCTATTGATCCAGTGGTAAGAATCTTTGTTTTCTTTATAATGAGATGCAATCCAATACTGAAGGCTGCATTCCTTGATCTTCTGCAACAAGTGTTCCTGGTCCAGGTATAGGTTCCACATGAGCACTATTAAGTGCTCTGAGATTCCCATTCTTCTCAATGTCAGCCACAACTCAAAAACCCAATAGGACAGTGCTATTGCTCACATATTTAGAGATTCCCAGATCGAGTCCATTAGCCAGGTACAATCTAACAAAGTCCGTTTCTGAGGTAAACGTAGTGAAAGCAGAGTAAGAGCAAACTATGCAGACAGGATCGTTAAAGACACGAAAGATTATTAAGATGGAGGAAAGTTTATTAAGACACAGAGACACTCTCAGAAGTGGAGGGTAGATGTCGTCCCCCTTCGTGGCCTCCAGTTATCTGGGTCTCTGGCACTTCCTGGTTGCACTCAAACACCTGCACCTTCTGCAGTGATGGGCTTTAGGTAGGTGTGACCTCATTTGTCCTCGGTTGTTGTTGTTGTGCACTGATTGGCCCCATGTGCTGTGGCTGGGTTTCAGTTCCTGGTTCCTCTCTGCACCCTCATCACTAACTCCCCTTGATTCTCCCTCTGGCCCTTATCAGCTGTGAGTTGGAATCATCGCAATAGGTAAGTGAGTGTGAGTTCTTGAGTCTTAGTGTTTCATAAAGCAAAACTTACCCTTTTATTTCACAGCACAAGGAGAGGAATTGGGTTGGGAAGAGACAGGGAGGGGTTACTCCCCTCCCCAGCTACTGATGGTGATGTTTATTTTTCCAAAAACATGATGATCCCTTTGGTAGACCCCCAATAAAGCACCCTTCCTCTATGGTTACCCCTGTGTAATCCCCTTACAAATAACTTTGGGTTGAACGACGTGACTAGCTGTGACCACAGAGACATCTGCATGCAAGAGAAGGCCTGACGTGAACTTGCACGTAGTGGTTCTTTCTTGTCCTGGTGGGAAAATCCTTCGTGGAACCCAGGCTCCAATGAGCAGCCCCACAGGGAGACAGTGTTGCCCCCCACACACCACTTTCCTCCACCCCTTTCTTCCTATCCCTGTTGTGACTCTCAATCCAGCTGGGACACCGGGCATATAGGAGAAGGAGCCGTCTTAAAAACTGTCACATGATCTGCACCCGCTGAGCCCTACCCAAAATGTGTGAAGTGAGCGAAGAGATAGTCCTTGTGCTAAAGCCCCAGGGTCTGGGGGGAGTCAAAGTAAAGCACTAAATAACCAAAACTTACTCATGCATAGAGTAAATTCACAGAGCAGACATCAGGGACCTGAGGGTGGGGTATGGTGCTGGCTTGAACCGCAGCCAGGTAAAATGTTTCCGGGTCAATTGGTAGACCTGCCTGTCTGACCTGGAACCTCTTCTCTGGATGACTCTGTTCCCTCGGGGCCCAACTCTGAAGCCGTTCCTAGTTGTCACTAAGGGTCCTTGTTAGTTAGGGTGCTTTGGCTACTTACACAGTGAGGCTCACGTTCCAGAAAGTCCAGAGGCTGGATGGAGCCTTCCTCCAGGCGGATGGAGTGACTATGGGTGTGTGGTAATGGAGGCCTTTTCTTGTAAGGCCAGTTTTCCTAGTCAGAGAAGTCCACCAGCTCTGTAAACCAAGAGAAGGATTTCCCAGAAGGCGCTGCACACCCACACCTTTCTTTACATCTCATTGGTCCAAACTGAGTCACCTGCCCTTTTCTGAACCAATCCCTGGCAGGGAGAGAGGATTATCATAAATCCAATTGAATTCAACCCTGAATTTTTATGCTGCAAGGAAGGTAGAGATGAATTCTCCTAAAATCCTTGACGTTGGTTCATGGGGAGTTGAATGGATGCCTGGGAATCACTTGTTCTGCTAGGGGGCTGGACAGGGGAGGAGCCTGCAGTGTTAAAGGGATAGTTTCTCTTACAAGGTAGTTTCTATGGGACAGAGGTTAAAATGCCCCCAATACTGAGGTGGTTGTTGTTATGTGCCGT